GCCGGCAGGTCTGCTGAGATCAGAGGGCAGCAGCGGGGAAGGGGAAGGGCAGCGCTGGCTGCACGCAGAGAGGTCAGCGTCCTCAGCCCCGCCATCTGCGGCCCCGCGCGTTTCCCCGCGGCGCCATTCAGACACCCTCATTAGGGCCAGATTACGCTGACCACAGACGAATAGATGCCGAGGACGGCGCGTCGCCGCCTGCCAATCGCTCCCTGCAGACCCGGTGAGGGGATGAGAAGGACTTAGGGAGTCACGGGGCGTAGGGAAGGGGAGATGGAGGAGGTAGCCGAGCGAGGGGCATTGTGGTGGAAGAAGAAGAGGTGCGTGGATAGAAGAACAAACGAGAGAAGAGGTAAATGGAGGGAGAAGACAAAAATGAATACCTAAAGGAAAGGGTAGAGCAAAATGTAATACACAACACCAAACCTAACTAAGCATAAACTTTTTTGTGGAAGAGGGCGCCATTCACAATAAGAAAAGAACAGCGGCAGATTTGCAAGACGGTGGCGGAAAGGAATAAAGCAAAATGGGAGAGGTGCGAAACTCTCAGTAAGAATGAGGTACTACTGGCCGGATATGCTACTGAAGTAGACATCACGTATTAGCTATGCATTGGCCCAAAGGTGACCCATGGACCGCGGGTGGTCGGCGGGGCCCGGCCGGCCGAGAGTACCTCGTTGGCAGCGCTCCTCACCGGACTAATCTAGCCACGATGTCGGTGGCGCGAGATGGCGATCGATGCCATATGCCTGCCAGATATGGAAATCCCACCGACTCCGCTGCCATGGTCAGCGGTCCGCACTCAGCCGCCGGGGCAGCGACTTGTGTGATAAACCGCAGATTATCGGTGGGCGTTGACCTCGTGTTGTTGTCTGTTGACTGTTGACTGTTGACATTCACGGATGGCTGACCAACCAAAACAAACGATATAAAGTCGATAAATTTTGCTCATAAAACACGACCTCAGACCTGTAGTTACTTTTGTCTTGATAACCTATGAAGAGCCTATTTGGGGTAAACTGATTCCATGTTGTGGGCCATAAGCTTTGATGAAGATAGGTGCCCCTATAGAACATGGGCAGCGCGGCGTTGCCAAACGCAGATAACACGCGCCTTCTCTCTCGCTCGCCCCGTCGGGTCAGCACAATCTCTCGTTGCCAGCCAGGCGTGGTGTCCGCGGCTGCAGTGGCTCGGTCTCGAGCACCGCTGTCGGTTCGGGATCACCATATTTTCAGCGGCACTGATTTAGAGGAGCGGCGCGGGCCTGCGGTCCGACCGGCGCGGGCCAGCGGTCCAGCCAGCCCAACTTCCGGAGGTGCGCCCCCGCCGCAGACGAGACTGCCTCAGCCAGGTGGGGTGGGCTTGGTCTGGCGGAGCTGCAGCTCACCATGGCTAGCCTCACAGCGGGGCGCCTAGCAACGGAGAGAGAGGGTATAGCTGGTGAAGTTCTCCCGAAAGGCTGCCATGACGTGGTGAGGGTTGGGTGAGGGTGGGGAGGGGTCTGTAGGTAGCTGCCCCAGCTGCGGGTGGTGCCTGTAGTAACAGTCATTAACAACCTGCTGAACAGCTCACCACACCTCCAGCTGCCAGGTGTGGGTTTGCAGGCCCACCTGAGCGCCTCCCGAGCGGGTGCGGGTGTCTGTACCGGTGTCAGAGCCGGTGTCAGGGCCACTGTCGGCTGTTGACGCCGTGCGGCGGTCACTGACCACTAGACCAGGGTGTGTCAGCCGGTTGCCGCGCTGCAGCGCCCGCGCACCCGAGCGGTCAGCCGTCGCGGCTCAGAGCCGCCGAACGAGCCGACGCCCACCGCGTCGTTTGGAAATATTCTCCGTAATCGGGCCCATTACGACGTGCCGCCTTAGCGGGCCACCTGTGGGGAATAATCGAACGCTCGCTGTGATCGGCTGGCCGTTACGGCGTCCAGCGCCCGCGGAGACTGCAGGGCAGCGAGCGAAGAGAGGAAGCAGGATCGCGAACGAGAGAGGAAGAAGGAACGCAAGGAAGAAGGAACGGGATAGGAGGACGGCAGGCCAAGGCAGGGTCGGTGGTGGAAACTCAAGTCAGATGAACGCGGGAACAGACAGTTGCTTACAAGCACGAAAGTTTGACCTACGAGTAGTTCTGTGCAATGACGCAATCTTCACCTCAAAGCAATGTAAGCGATCGTTTGTGATAATTATGCTTCCTTAGCGAGGCAGAGAATTTGGTTGTGACCGATCTTGCGCTTCCACCACCATCCCATGATATAAGTTTACCGTTTTGCTGGAGTTGACAACGTTTCCGAAACAGCTTCGGTTTTGGTCCGTTTTCTACGATGCTACCGGATCTCACCCGATTACGTCAGGGATGATTATGGCTTATATAGGCAACCTACCCTCTTCTCTTTAATTCCTCCATGTGTCGATCATATGACTTTACCTATCCACATTGTTTCCGCCAGGAATTAACATGTATAACCTTGCGTCCGTCTCTGACAACTGACACTGTCATTTAATTTGTCCGTTTTAACGTGTTACTTTATCAGCCATCGAATCGTTTGAATCACCGTAAATCGAGGATTTGTCAATGCTTCGAGATAAGTACAAACTTGACTTGTCAAAAAGATAGCTTAGGAGATGTGATGTGTTTATTTGCTAACAGAATGACGCCAAAATATGCGGCGTAGTTGTCCAGACACATGAAACCTTTGACGTTTCCATTTTTGTTCCCCATGCATTTCAAGCAACTGTTACTGAGCTATTAACTATATCCGGACGTCTTTAGGTCCAGCTCTAACAACGGCCGCCTGTCCTCTAGTATCGGTTTCACAGCCAGTTTCCGATAGTTTCACACGGGCGGCGGCGAGGCGTTTCCGCCCGGGCTATCTTCGGACCGTGTCTGGGACAGAATGGGCGGTGTCAGTTCAGCGTCAGAGGCCGGCCGCCGACACCTGAGACGGTTTATTGGGGTCTGGCGGCGATTTATACGACCCAGTCTGTCCGCGGCCGAGCAGTTCCCACGGCGTCGGTGGGTCCGACTGTCCCCGGGCCCCCAGAACGGCCCATACCGGCCCGCACCGCCCGGCCGGACGCAGATGAAATCGCGCCTCGCGCGCGCAGTTACGCGACGCGCGATCCCAATTGAGCTCCGAGCTCCACGGGCTAATGTGTTCGGAGATCTGTATCACTGTGGCCCTGAGAGGCGCGCAACTATCAAACGGATTTTTTGTCCGACGGACTTTTGACGAAGTCGTTTGCGAGTTCCACGTTCAGACAGACTGCTGAAAACGTTGTTTTCCCGGAACGGATGTTTGCCCGGCAAGTCAAACATCCGAGTTTTCTTGTTAGCCATTATGGAGCGGCTGTGGTGCGTTGATGTGCGGCACTGCCGTTGTTGAGGAGGCCGCTGTCGCCTGTCCTGCCGACTGGAGGAGCTGGAGCGGGGCGCCCACCTGCCGCCTCTATAGACGCCGCGGCGGCCGGAACGAGCGCGTCTAATGATGTGCTGGCCCACCAAACGTGTTTCCTTTCACGTCCCGTTTTCACACGCCGACACGCCGGATATCTGAGGGGCGACAGAGAACAATGCGCTGGTCAGTTGTCCTTGGCCGCGGCGACGCTCCGGGCCGGCGTTCTGTGAGGAGGTGAAGTGAACCTCCCTCGACCCACCGGCGCCGCGTCGGCGTCTCAGCTGCGTCGGTACCGTCGTTAGAGGGGACAGGGGGGGGGGGGGGGTCCTCCACCGACGACGGTCATCGTCGATTGAATCGGCTCCGACTCGGCGTCGGACTCGCTCGACTGGCCGTGGGAGGATCATCCCCGGAACCGCAGGCGCGTCCTGCCACCGCCCAGAACCTGGGCCGAGTCCACGAGCCCAATCGATGGTCTCTCGTAAATTGTCCTCCGCTCGGCCTGTCGCCGCGCGAGTGATACCACGGCCGAGCTGAGGTAATGCTGGAAAGGATATTCTGAAAGATGCTGAATGAATGATGCAGGGCTAATGCTGGGGTATGTTACCGTTGGGGGTATTTTTGCATACAGGCCACAGGGCCACTGCATAAAAGAAATGTGTAGCATTTATATGTTGAAAGTTGGAACAGGGAGATATCGGAGTGGTGAATATTGATCAGCTCCGAACAATCCTTATGCCTCCTACATTCATTCATCCTTATGCATTCCTCGGAAATGTTGAGACACCGCGGAACGGAACTGCTTTGCGATGCCATGCTGAGAACAATGATTATCATCAATGTCTCTCCGGGGTGTGTTGATGTTGCTCCGGGGGGTATTTTTACATAGCTCGCCGGCGCCATGGGAGCACTGGCGCCGTGCCGCCGTCCCGTTTGCCCGTCTGGTTGGTGTGATAAGGATGTGAAGGATGGCTGATCAGGAGCAGACCGGAAGCGGGGGTGTCGCCGAGGCTAAAGGAGGCGGCCGGTGGTGCGTGCGACTCAATGCCACCGAGCTTCCGACGCGTCTGTTGGCCATTAGCACGAGCTATAAAGCGCATCGGCGGGGCCAGGTGCGAAAGGCGCCTCCGCTGTGACCGAGACGGGGGTAATGGGCGGCAGCTTGGTGGGCCGTGAAGGGTCCTTCGTCCTGACATCGGACAGCTGCGGTGGCCGCGCCTGTCCAGTCAGGGTACCCAGTGTGGTAACCGTCCCGCACTGGGCCACCCATGGGAGGCCACTGATGTGTCCGTTGTTGTCAGTTCAGCACGCACGTACATGTGTTTTTTCTTTCATATTCAGACTTGATTTATAACAATACCTATCGTCGATTGTTTCCTAGAAAATAAGCAAATGACGGTTCCGACAACAAAATCAATGTTTTTAAGACAGACGATGATCGTTAACTATCACGTTATTTACCATTCAGTCAAATGAAGAAGATATCGTCAGTTCGATACGTTTAACGACACCCCTTCACAAAACTTCGTGGGCATCATATCCCACTGTAAAAATTATTAAAAGCAAATTTTGTTTGATCTTACAATTTATTATTTCCTCTCGGTTTTCGCAGTTCATTGTCAGCAGCAGCGGTTCCGTGTCCGTCCGTCCAACGTGAGCGTGGTGGAAGGAGACAGCGCCATCTTACGGTGTGAAGTGCAACACCAAGTCGGACAGCTCCAGTGGGCCAAGGATGGATTCGCTCTCGGTAAGTTTGTCTATTTAGACTATTTTTGTTCTGTATTGAATCTGCCAGTTTTGCATATCTCGCATATTAAACCAGGTCTGAGGCCTGACATACATGCCTCGGGAATTTCAGAAATTATGCGAGTTACGCCGAAGTTAAACTTCAGCCTTCTTCACTTACGTTCATCAGTAAGCTAATGCTAGTTCACTGAATAACGAATGAACACAAAGTTAAGTTAAATGAATTAGGCTTGAGCAGTAGCACGCATCCTCACCGGACCAGGCCCCTGACATGTCTCGTGGTGACGTGACTGCTGGTAACCGTCCGACTCAGTTATCTCGCCACTTCACATCCTGTCACATTCCGTCACGAGCTGCACTGCCCCGCCATCGCCTCACGTCACGTACACGTCCGTCACCTGCCGGACGTCACGTCTCGTCGCGACAGAGCGTCACGTTTCGTGTGGCGCGCAGAGTCGCTAGCGTTGACAGGACGTTCGTGATTTGGTCTGGATTTTTCAGCACACAGAACCGATCACAGTGCCACACCAAAGTTGCAGCTTTGGTTGCAATTTCGCACAGCACCCCCCTCCTCCCCTCCTCTTCCCGCTGACAATAAGGGCCGAGCCCTCCAGGAATGTGTACTCTGTACAGTCACCTGCGAGCCCACAGAGTGCGCGCACGTGTCTCTATTGATAAAAATCCGTGACTACATACATCTCCCGAACAGTAATGGTGCGAGATGTGTGTCGAGTATGGATACGCACTTCGGTATTTTGCCTCGATACACTGTCAGTTCACAGACACAGAGCATGCATCATGTGCAAGTGCAGTGATAAATATCCCGCGTCTTAAATGTTGCTCTGCTTGCTGATTGCGTTTCCATCGAATCATATTCAACGCACGCGAGCTGTCCGTCTATACATCCGTCACAGTCAGGTCTCATTTGTGTATATGATGACGCGTTTATAAGTTACAGATGCGTAGGTGCCATCACTTCGCATTTATATATTAAAACACAAAATAATGATGTCGTAAAGCACTGAGCACTCGCTCATAGCGTGCCACATCGATTATGTTGGTAAAAATGAAATATAATTACACTCGGTCGTAAGATATGCCGCCCACGTCCGCTGGCAGCCCACGCCATATTACCGAAACCGCTCCATGCCCGCCACGAATTATCTGCTCTAAGCCGATCTAACTTAGCACGTGTGGCGCCAGCTTCAGCCACTTTAAAACACAAATTGTTTCTCGCGAAAGAGATTGCAGCGCATTTTTCTGAAATCCGCTGGACTTGGTGGTCGAAGTTTAATTGGGATGCTTAAATTGAAGGATTAACTGTGTCGTTGTCTTGTAAGCTGGTCAGTCATTATTGACTCCGAAACGATTGGATACTCGTTCTGTCCAGATATAGTCTGGCCTGAGTGAACTGACAGCAACAGGGATTTGAGGATGTTCGGAATTGCATCGGATAAATACGACGACGTGCCTCCACGTCTGCTGCCGGAAATCTGCAGATCGGTAGAGAAATGGCCCGCCCAGATTGACGATTATATGTCGACAATGTGACATTTTATTTACATTCCGTATTTAATAAGTAAAACATTCGTGCAATTAACGTAAAAATCGATGACATTCTTATCTTTTATGGCAAATCACGTTCGTTTATATTTAATAGGCACATACGAGACAATATCCTGTCAAAAGAAGATTTTAGATTCCCTATGTTGTCCAATCGTCCCATGTTATTTTTCTTGTCAACATATCGTCCTATATCCTTCGTCTCTCTCCTCTCTCTCTCTCTCTCTCTCTCTCTCTCTCTCCTCTCGCTCCGTCTCTCTCTCTTCTCTCTCTCTCTCTCTCTCTCTCTCCTCTCTCTCTCTCTCCTCTCTCTCTCTCTCTCTCTCTCTCTCTCTCTCTCTCTCTCTCTCTCTCTCTCTCCTCTCTCTCCTCTCTCTCTCTCTCTCTTTCCCCCCTCTCAGCACCCAGCGCCGACTGCCTTCACATTGAGCTGGCCACCGTGAGTTCTGCCCGCCGACAGATCCGATCTCGTTGGAAATGTTACAGCCGGGCGACCGCCACCGCGCGCGGCGCGATACCGGCGAGTGGCGACAGAAGTTGATTTCGAGTGGCTCAGCGGTCGGCTTCACCTTTGAGAAATGTATCACAAAACCGAGTCGAAATGGCGATCGTCGCCATGAGAGGGCCGTATCCCGGCGATGATGGCCATAAATTTGGCACCAGAAGCACCTTTAAACGCAAATGGCCGGCGCTGGCGGCGTCAGCTGCAGACGGGCCCGCCGCGCCGACCGGCCATTTTCATCACCGCGCGGAGTGCGGAGTCCGCCGGACGCCGCCGCCGCCGGCGGAACTTGTTGCCGACGCGGAGCGGAGCGCGGACGGAGGTGGACTCCGCTGTATATCGGTGCTGTCTGCAAAGATGAGGAGGAAATCCCAGCCATTGGCCGCGCCAAGCGGACGTGGAACTACTGCTGATAACGTGCTACCTGATTCCGGGTTGAAAAATAATGGCCCAGGATCTAATTCTAGCATCATTATTTCACATTGCACTTATAGTTGCGGGCTACTAAATTCGCTTCGTGTGCTGACTGCATCATGAGTGGCCAGTTGCCGCTAATGGTGGCGCTCTAGCTCATGCAAACACTTTTTTTTAGGAATAATTTATTTCTCTCAATTTGCAGGTTACTCCCGGTCACTTCCCGGATACGACCGATACCGAATGCTGGGTGACCCGGGGTCAGGAGTGCATGACCTGGAGATCACCAACGTGACCCTGGAGGACGACGGTCGGTTCCAGTGTCAGGTGTCGCCGAACCGGGGACAAGACGCCATCCGAGCCGACGCCATACTCACCGTGCTAGGTAAGTTACTGACAAATCCGCTAGGCTTCCATTGATTAGACCCAAATAACGCTATTCCTCAAAAGACTACCGAGGGAATATTTTCGGAACAAATCAGCCTCATGGATCTAGTTATGTAATATGTAATATAATCAGCGTATGCCGCCTGCAGATTAGAGTAGATGCTGACTAATGTCATATCCACCGCCTTGTTAGCGCTGGGAGATATATCCCGGCCCGTATTCTGAGCGCTGGGCCGCCGGCATGCCGGTCGCAGCCGCGCAGTTCTGCGTTTCAGCCGCGGCTGGACCTGCACCCGCCGGCCGCCGCTGAAGAAAGCGGTGACGAATCGCGTCGTTAGACGGCTACGAGGCACACCCCATCCATCGGCGGTGATTTTATCGCGCGGTGCTGAGACCCTGACGTAGCTTCCCGGCGGTGGCCATGACCCGACCGCAGTGCCTCAGGCTACATGGGACCAGGGAGAGGGGAGACACACATCTGTCGCAGAAGGCGTGAGCCGAGGTTTTATTGCTGAGGAGGTTATGATTTCCGAAGTAGGAGCAGGAGCTGCTGGAAGTTGGCTGTGGGAGACGGCGTCGGCGTGGCGGAGAGATGCCATCTGGTTGATGGCTGCCACGGGGAGAGGGAGGGTGGCGCGGAGAGGAGGGAAGAGGAGGGGAGGGGAGTGACGGAGGTCCGCCCGTGCCATCACCTCCGGCCATATGTCGTCCTTATCTGGACGGCTCCGATGGAGGGACGCTGTCGACGGCCGACTGTGCGCGCACCCAACTCCGTCCGACGCAGCCGACGCGGCCACCGTTCGATCTGATCGTAATATCCCCACTGATGAGTATTGATTTCAAATCCGTGGCTCCATAAGCATTACCCTGTATGACCGTGCCATGAAGCAGTGGAGCGTGCATGCCGCAGCAATTTTATTTTTATTACCTCCATTACTGAATTTTGGTAGGCAATGACCATGCCTATGCCGGCCGTCACGCTAAACTTCTTCTCGGTTAGTTTGTGAACTGGTGTGTCTCGTTTGCGCTTCTCCTGGTTCCGAGCTTCTTCATTCAACCGTGTCAAACATGTCAAACGCTGCTAGTGACCTTATTTATGTTTCTGCGCTTTGTCCCGCAGCGAAGCCTTCTTTGGTCTCACGTCTCCTTTCTTATCGTTATCGTCGATGACCTTATGGGTGACATGTCTGACCTATGTGCCGCAGTTGAGTTGCACCTTTGCACTGTATTCCGTACCTACTCCGTAGTCAAGTGACACTTCATAGTTATGTTCCGTCTCGAAGTGATGGATCACCCATGCTCCGTCACGAAGTGACGCGTCTGACCTCCTATATCCCGCAGTGAAGTGACTCGTCTTTACTTCGTCCACAGTGAAGCCGACATCAGTGACAGCCAGCTCGACGAGCAGGTCACCGCGGCTCGGCCTGTACGAGGTCGGTCAGGGCAGTCAGCTGACTCTGCGCTGTGACGTCACCGGTGCCCGGCCGGCCGCCCAGGTCCAGTGGCAGCGCAATGGAGTCCCTGTTCAACTTGGTGGGTCCACCGTATTCACAGTTGACTAGCCTACACTGTACGCATCTGGCATCAATCAGCCGACCATGACATAGCGTCACTTCAGTATTTCAAGCCTTCACAGTCCCCACTAATTGGGTAAACCCTCTCCATGCAGTGGAATAGTCCTTCCCAATATACCCTGACTGGGTAAAGTCCCAGAGTTCAAGCCCTTGTGGACCCACAGCTAATCCCCTTTATAAGCTGCAGCTATTAAGAGCCCCAAGGCACCGATCCTTACCACTTCGCACGGCTCGTGAGTCCCTAACCATCCAGCTCAGTGAGTTTCTCAGAAAACGTTCCAAAGCACACAAAGCTAGTGATTAAACTTCTGGGGAATGCCTCCATATTGAATGGTTAGTGCCGAATCCTATCTTGTTCTGTTCAAAGATTTACTGAAAGCTTTTACAATTAGGTAAAATTGATAGCAATGGAATAGGATTCAGCGCAGCTGTGGAGCGGAAAGAGCTCCTTCAACTGCTTGGGTGAATAACCCGGTGAAGTAGTGCGAAACTCCGCATTTGTAACGTCCTGCTTATGCAATCATTTTTTAAATTGATACTGACACCGTTATCACATTCAAAGACATTGATCAGCACACCGTTAGTCACGCTAGGAATTAATGTTTTATTTGCTGTATCTGCCAATTACGATGCTTCGCAATTCACCTATTAACCTTTTCCATCTATTCATCTGAAAAATTGAGGATTATGTAACATAATGACCCACTGAGATCCAAGAGGATTGGAGTTGGCTTGAGGTCATAGTTCGATGTCTTCATTCTCTTCATCCTGTTCCTCCTCTGTGATTACAATATTTGTCCGTCTCTTCACAGACCAAGAGGACTCTTTTTCCGGCTGGGGCCACCCGGGCCGTAACGACACGACCTCTGTGGTGACCCTGCGACCCACGGCAGCCGACGACGGGGCCGGCATCTCCTGTGTGGCCCACCACCCGGCAATTGCACCCGAGGACCGCAAGTTCTTCAACTCGACCGTCCAGCTATCGGTGCTGTGTAAGTTGACTGTTCCTCTCGTCCTTTCGTCTTCTGTGAAAGGTGTCCATGCTTACATTTATTGAGTTATTGAAGGGACATGGTAAATGAGGTATATGACAAGTCGTTATGGTTTGCCGCTTTTGGTACTTGCCGCTTGCAAGACGAAGCTGACGTGTTTTCTGTCCCTCGCGTAGACCCTCCGGGCGCCCCGGAGATCAGTGGCTACACGGAGGGAGAGGTGGTCAGTATCGGACAGCAGAAGACACTCACGTGCATCTCCAGAGGCGGAAACCCGCCCGCCCAGCTGGTCTGGCTCAAGAACGGACGGCCGATCGGCTCCAAGTACCGTGCACTGCCGGGTCACACGCTGGCCGAACACCGACTGCGGGCTGATGTGTCTGACCTCGGGGCGGTCTACAGCTGCCAGGCCAGCTCACACGTGCAGCCGGAGCCGCTGACCGCCTCCGTCCGAACGATGGTGAACTGTGAGTGCTGGGACATAGGGAGGGAACCCGATGCCCAAATCTGGTCAATTGTGGGAACAGGAAGGAAAATCGGGACCTCAAAATTATTATGGACATATCCAGCGGGAGCCAGGACCTTCTCTGATCCACTGTGGGCGATGGGGCAGAGGAATCGGCTCAGGTCAACATGGGGAAGAGCGATATTTCCTGGCCAATGGGGAGTGTTTGAGGCAGAGCGGGGACCGTCACGTCCCGACCCACTGAGCTTGGTAGCCCAATGCTCGGAATTTGGACATCTGGTTGGACAGCGTCCGGGATGAAACGTGTTATAAATGAGACTGCCAGGGTTCCCATGTCGACTGTTATTTACAGCAGCTAACACTGTGGCCATCAAGCTATGAAATGGCACAGTGTTTTTGAATTATTGGAATCTCGGTCATGGTCAACGAGGGACAAATCAATAAATGCATATGCATTTCCTCCAAAGTGGCACATTTCATAACGGTCATTCGGTATGCTATCAACTCCTTCCATGCACGGCTGCCTCACACAGTCTGTCTCGCCCAGTGTCGAAGAAAGTGTATAAGTGCCTGTCTCACTTGCCGTCTAGTCACCGTCACCGTCTAGTTGACTCACTTGCTACGATCTCCGACAGTCGGTCCGGACCTGGTAACGATCGAAGGCACGCGTGAGGCTCGCGGCGGCGACCTGGTCCGCTTAACGTGCGTCACGTCCAGCAGCAGTCCGGCGGCCAACATCACCTGGGTCATCAACGACAGGACAATGGAGAACGTGAGTCCCAGTCTGGTGCCGGCCGCAGACCCCGGCCCCATCACCTTCTCGGACCCTCCTAGGAGCGGTACCGCAACTCTCATTAAAAACGCCCCCTGTGCAGTAGCTGTGACCTGTTCGTGACAGTCACGATCCCACATCCGTGGGTGGTGAATACACGAGGAACGGCGCTGTGCTATTGTGAGAGTCGCTTTCCCCACGCTTATTGACGCTGTGCGGGGGTGGACCTGATCCAGACACGGTATTACTCCGTGTCTGGTCATGACATGTGCCGTATAGGTAGCGCGACGCTTTGGTACGAGCCGTTTTTAGCATGCACCTCCAATTCATCACGTACATCAAAGGCGCAAAGTCGATTCCTATCACGCCATTCCGGTGAAACACCGCGTCCGTCTCTCTCGGAAAAGTTCCGTCTATTTCTGCTCTCGCTCTAGGTCTGCTCTATTTATGTCCCTTCATTTGCTCTCACACTCGTTATTCCAGCTACGGATCCGTATCCGATGACCAATTGCGCCCGCATAGCTGGGTTCTCTCTTCTCAGAACTCACGCTGACTGGGATGGGCCGTGTTACAGACGAGCCAGGAGACGTCTGTGGCGGGCGACGGCGGCTGGATCAGCAGCTCCAACATCTCCACCGTGGTGCCGATCGGCATGCGACAGGACATGACGGTGGCCTGCTACGGACTCAACCCCGCGCTCGGGCGCACCAAAGTCGGATCGGCCAAGATCACCGTGCTTCGTAAGTTTGTTTGTGTAAGAGGTACCGTGTTGATAATTAATACTTGCAATGCAGAATTGATGTGGTTGGTTCTCTTCATCATGCTGTTTATCGACTAGCTGCAATTCGCATTTATCCTTCACAGACCCTCCGGAGCCGCCGACGATCCTGGGCTACGAGTCGGGCTCCCACCTGCGGGCCGGAGAGCGGGTGTCTCTCTCGTGCGTCTCGCAGGGCGGCAACCCGCCGGCCACGCTCACCTGGTACCGGGGTGACACGGAGCTGGCCTCGAGCACAGAGGTGCGCGACAGCGTGGCCAGGAGCGTGGTCACGTTCCAGGTGGACCACGCCGACAACGGACGCGTCTACACCTGCCGAAGCACCAACTCAGCTGAAGGCAAACAGCAAACCGTCAGCACCACACTCAATGTGTTCTGTGAGTGTTTACTGAGCGAGCTGTGTGAACGATCACATTTGTGACCGTTTGTAAACAGCCTGATGAGCTATAGCGCTGAAATGCCATCATTCACTATGTGTTTGCTGGTTTGATTGATGTTGTTAAATCATAAACTCCTGAGTGATGCTGCTCTGGAATGGAGTCACTGAGAACGTCCTCTCTTCGTTTGAACTGATTTATAATCTATATGACGTAGTACAAGTGGTATTGCAGTGCAGTTGATGCCTTGGCTAGTGCGGATAATATAAATGTCGTTTTGTTTTTATCGGGCGACATTCTCTGTTCTTCCCCTCCGACATTGTAAGTTGTTCACAATTCACACTAACTTTTGCACTAATATCTCTTCCAGTCCCTCCGTCGAGCCTGAAGCTGGAGGTGCGTCCGGACGTGTTGCGGGCGGGCAGTCAAGCTCTGCTTACTTGCGAGTCGAGACCGTCGTACCCGGAGGCTGAGCTGACCTGGTGGCGAGACAACGTCCAGGTCACCGACGGGGTCACCACCCTCGAGACATTCAAAGCCGGAAAACACGGAGGGTGAGTAAAAGCTTTGAATGTCGCACGTAACAAGTCGAGCATATTGAATATAAATAGTAGGAAAAATAGGCACATTGCTAGCAACATCATTTCACATAAACTGACGTTTCTTCCTCATTTGGCTTAAGTGCAATACAAACTAACACGATTTCGAAGCATTTTTGTTACTTGTACAGACGCTCCGCGTTATAACGACACAATGGACGTTGTGTGTGTGTATCTCCTGCATCATGTAAATATATCATCGTGTGTTCGCAGGTCATCCAGCCGCCTGCAGCTGCGGAGAAACCTGACTTGGACCGACGACGGGGCGGCCTATTCGTGCAGGGCTCACGTGGCACCTCTGAGGGGCATTGTGGAGGACAGACTCATCCTGGACGTCTCCTGTGAGTGTACACGGCTTACAATGGCTGGGATGTTGATAAACGACGCATGTTTGTTTGTGATACCAATTTTATTGTGCGGTAGCTTTTTGTGGAACTATGGGGCTTGTTTTTCCTCTCTTCATCAGAAGTTTCGGGCCATTATTTTTCGCTTTCCTCAGGCTTCTGAGAAAGGCTCGAGTTCCGTCGGATATTATTTGAGCAACGTCTTTCCGAGAAGCCGTTCTCTCTCCCAATGTTCATGCCTGTAATACTATGTTCAGACCAAGCACTCGGCTGCTCTTCATTAGCCAATAGAATCGCCAAACTTGTCCGAGGCCAAGGAAGTTTGCCCACGATAACAATATCGTCTTCACAGACGCGCCCGTGTTCAGCAAGAGCCTCTTCTCGGAAGAGTTTGTCGTCGACTCGAGCCACGTCCTGAACCTGACAGCGCGGGCCCGGCCGGCCGGGGTGCGCTACCACTGGACCCGGGAGTCACCGGGCGGCGGGCCGGTGCCAGCAGAGGGTCCCGTGCTGCGGCTGGACTCTGTGAGCCGCACTGACGCCGGCTGGTATCACCTGGAGGCCTCCAACGAACTGGGCATCACCACCGTGCGCGTCCACATCAACGTGCTCTGTGAGTGGCCACCTCCCTGCCGGCAGCGGGGTTGTGCTAAAAAATAAATGTATTATAAATGTTAGCCAAGAGGATGAGCTGATACAGTTACAGTGAAAACGGATATGAAAGAATGCAATGATATTAAAAGATTGATAAAATTTAGGACAAACTGCTATTTATCTACAATCCGGCGTTGGCTGAGCTACGACATCGCGGTTGTTGAAGGTTATTAGAGATCTTATCAGGCCATATATCCCGCTCGTCCAATCAACAATAGACCGTTTCAATATCATTGATAGCCATCCGTTTCGCCTCAGTGGCGGTCTTCGATCGCCGGCCTGTCACTGAAACCATTGGCCGTGCCGCTCGGGCCGCTTTATTCTGTACGTAGCTCACCGCCACCGCGAACGATATTCGACGCGGCTGACAGGAATCGGCTACATTTCAAACCGACCGGTGTGTCTGACGCAGCTCCTGACTAACTGACCGGTCGGTCGGTCCGCCCCCTCAGACCCCCCTCAAATCGTCTCCGTCTCCGGCGTGTCGATGGTCTCGACTGGGGAGGACGCCGTGCTGGAGTGTTCGGCCGACGCCAACCCGGCCGCGCCCGGCATGATCTCCTGGCATCGAGAGGGCTTCAACCTGGCCTCGGACCGGGTGAGCACGTTCACAAGGAACGGCACCTCCTACCTGACGGTCCACAACGCCACCAAGGAGGACATCGGCGAGTTCCTGTGTCGGGCTGACAACGGAGTTGGACAGGCCACCGCCACCGCCGCCCTGCTTGTCAAACGTGAGTGCAGCCTTAGACCGGTTAGCTTGGCGACATGTGAGTTATTCTGAAAATATAGCAACCATTTTGCGGTGATTCAATGTCTCCTGAGCTTTTATTTAAAAACAAAATATAACGTAATGGTCATTTTTACTCAACAAGGGATCGATTCAACTTCTTGGCTTGAGAAGCAACCAGCGGCGACCGCCCACTCGGTTTATATCTGCACCCAAATGTGTTTCATCTATTATGCAACACATCAGCTAAAAGCGACGTCCGGGCCATCCTACCATCCCCGTACTCTGCTATCGATTGCAGAGGGAAGTGTGCCGGGCTCTGGAGCCCCAAACCCCCATCTGCCCAGTCAGCGGCGGTAGAGACAGGGGCATCGCGGCAGGCTCTAAATTTTACAACGTATACGAAACACCATCAAGTGTGTCAGCGAGCTGTTGCCGGCAGCCTCGCTCTCTCGCGGCGCCATTTTCTCAGCTGGTACGCCCACAGCGTTCAGTCTGCTGAGGTGCTGTCATCCGTTTCCCGTTTTAGACGGACCAGAGATGGACGAGCGACCTCAGTTCCGGCGCGCCGCGGCCGCCGCTGGACGGACGGCCCGACTGCCGTGCCGCGCCGCCGGCGTACCCAACGTCACCTTCCAGTGGTCCAAGGCGGGCGTGCTCATTGACGGCACCATCCACCAGAAGTACCGGCTGGCGCAGTCACAGGTGAGTGGACAGGATAGGTGTGTTTGGAGGAGGAATTAGGTCTATGTAATTCTGACGGTTTTGCTGGCTCTCCCGTCTGTGTGTGTTTTTTTGGGAGAGTGGGCGTTTTATTGACGTAAGGTAACAAGATGTGCTGATTGTGTTCTACGCATATTGATCAATTATCATATTGTTGATAGTCCAGACAATGAACCTGAATAGCGTACTGTGATCGTCAATGCTTGGCAGGCTTATATCGTATTCTACCTTATCACGGTATGTGATCGGTCATGCTATCATAATAAGTAGTTCGAGCCTCGAATAATATCGCCGTTTTTCAACGAAATTAGCTTTATTGCATTGTTTTTCGAGTAACTTGATTTGTGGTTAATAACACGGTGATTTTTCTTTTTCCAGCTGGACCTGCAGACGTGGCAGTCGGTGCTCCGCATCAAGGATGTCCAGTCCTCGGACTACGCCACATACGAGTGTGTCGCCCTCAACGAGCTGGGCTCCCAGCGTCAGCAGATAGAGCTGGGCCGTCCCAGTGCACCGGACCCTCCGCTGGGTCTGAAGGTGGTCAACGTGTCACACGACTCGGCCACCGTGGCCTGGGAAGCCGGATTTGACGGTGGGCAGAAACAGGTGAATGGAACTACACATTTTGCTCAGCTAATAATCGATGATATTTGGTATATGTTGCCACAAAAAGCTGGCCACAGAGCCTCGCTTCTTATATATTCGTTATTCATAGCTCTAAACCTGGACTTTAGGGTAAGATAGGTTCTTGATATCATCTCAATCTGAGCACGTGCCCCGTCTGTCCGCAGATGTACCGTGTCCGTCTGACGGAGGGGTCCGACCGGCACCAGTACCGGGACGTGCAGCCGCTCAACACCACCATCTTCACCGTCACCGGCCTGCAGGCCAGCACCGCCTACATGGCCTCCGTCATGGCCTACAGCAGGCTCGGTGACAGCGCCTACAGCCAGCCGGTGCGACTGCAGACCGCAGGTCAGTGGACTCTTCTGGCATAGGATGGACGGAAGCTGATCACAACGTAACTTTCATAAGCGGTTTTATACTGTGCCGGACCTTGAGACATTACTGGTGATAACATGTGCACGATGTTGATAAATCTTGAAGTGTTCGTCTCCTTGAGCGACACGATTGCAGAAACTATGCTGCTGTTAAAGTGTTGACGTTTGTATCAGACGTCAGAAGTATGTTGTTTTTATTTGCTCTCCTCGAATTGAAGTCCTCACTCCTGATTCCTGTCCGTATTCCTCATTCCGGTGTTAGCTTGTTTCTTCTTTTAGTACTTGAATCTTCTTGAACTAATGCATGGCAAACTGTTGAGAAATAGCATGTCTTGCGTTCTCTGGTTTCCTTCTCTTCAACGCATTGATAATTTCTACCATTTTCAAGGTGATTCTCAACAGCTTCATTTTAGATTGAGTCACATCTGTCATCTTCAAACGAACAATTACTCTGCATGCATATTTCTGGCGTTGGAGGCTTGGTTGCTATCAAGTTGATCTACTATATAACCGTGGTAATGAAAATGACCACACACCTCACTAATATCCCTAATTCTCATAATCTGAAAAGATCCGCAGCCATAACTTTCAGTTCATTCTGGTCTATTCAATAACCAATCCAATCTATCCCGCTTTGCTTCCGGTGATGGAACGGTGATTGATTAGTGATGGAATGGTGATGGAATGGTGGTGGTATATTGGTGGCGGAGCGGGGAGGCATGGTATACCAGGTGGCATGCTGCTCTTCTAACATCTGTGGTGTTGGCTGTTTTCCGCGGGGCCAGCAGGTCCGCCGCCCGTCAGCTACGTCACTGACCGCGACGAGCCGGGCGGACCGGCCGCCTTCCCGCGCGTGGCCGTCATCTCCGTCACCGCCGTCGGCGCCCTCCTGCTCATCCTCAACGTCATCTTCATCGGCTGCTACCGCCGGCGCCGGCACCTCAAGAAGCAGAAGGCCGGTGAGTGGCCGCATGCTTGTGTGTCTTTGTGTGTGTGACCCTGGGGTGACCGGTCGCAGGCGACGCCGATGGGGCCCAGCCGGCCGTGTTTGACGAGGCCCGGCTTCCCTGGATCGTCATCATCGCCGTCTCCTCCGTCGGAGCGCTGCTGCTCGTCGTCAACGTCACGCTCGTCGTCTTCTTTATTCGACGACGCATGCGCAGATCCAAGGAAAAAGTGGTCGAATCAGCTTGTGAGTAGTTCGAACCTGTTGTTCATTATATCAGAGTACCTATGAGTTTGGGTCTGATGCATACCGGCTAGTTTGTTGAGCTTCGGCTTGTGTTGCATGTCTTAGAGAAAGGACCTGTTAAATCAACTTCACGAAAAATTGCCATTTCAACGATTCAAGTGCGATTGTTCAATAGCCAAGATTTTCAAAAACCCTCGGGTTGCAATTATGCATGCACCGTTGTCAGTTGTTACTAACCGATTGTTGGGCTACATACTTCAATATGAATTTGTACTAACGCGTCACCGTCTATATTTCAGCGACGAGCGAGGCGAGCACCAAATCGGAGACGCTCCACATGTACGGCAACGAGACGGTCAGCTCGATGTCTGTGAAGAGCGGCGAGAGCTACCCCCGGGAGGACAGCATGGACGACTACGACGTGAGTGTCGCGTCGTTCCGGTGTGTGTTTGTTCCCTCTTCTTTAGACATCTTGAGTTTAGCCCTCTTGGTCTCTACAAGAAATAACCTTGCAAGAGCATTTGCACGTTTCCATCTTGCCTGGTACGAAGAGGATGATACCCCTACAATCAAAGTCGAAAAAGCTTGAATGTCATAGTACATCGCGTATGACCCATCCCCCAGCAGCAGCCCTTAGGACACCACTGTTGATCTCAGTCCTCACCCGCCCTTGGTTTCCAGGCGTCACGGCACTGCTACGACCCGTACGCAGGCGGCAGTGTCTCGGAAACTGCCGTGGAGTACACCAACCACTTGCGGTCGCCGTCCCGAGCAGCTGACTTCGGGCACGACCAGTATGTGGAAGCCCTCAGGAGGAACTCGTACACCTATACAGCCGGTGAGTTGGAGGAGTTGGCTTCCCTGAGGAGTGGGAGGGGAAGGAACAGAGGTTGAGAAGTGTGTGAGTGAGACTGGGTGTTGTGAAGCTGTGGACGGAAGAATGCTGATGATCTACATAATTGTGCGAGAGTAGACTGCGTTGCTGAAAACCTGACCTCTGTCCCAGGTTCTTCCGTGGAGACAGCTGGCAACCATTTCACCACGTACACCACACAGCCGCCACGGGCGCCTCAGTTCCGCACGTCGGCTCTGGACGCGCCCACACCGGACCTGCTGCACTCGAGCGGGCCCGGCTCAGGCTACTTTCCCCCGGAGCCGCCGGCCGGCCCCGGCCGCCACTACTCGACGCTGCCGCACCAGCGGAGGGCAGCCGCCGCCACCGCCGCGGCGCCCCTGTCCAGCTTCAACCGGCAGTGCTCCAGGCTGGCGAGCCCGCCGCCGACAGTCATCACTGACAAGGCGCCCCTGGAGCAGCGGGGACACCTGGTGTAGCGCTCCTCTGGAACAGCGGGGACTCTTGGTGTAGCGTGCTGCTTCTTCTCCCACCAATACGGACCAGCCCGAACAGATTCCTGTCCTGAACTTCCCCCTTGATCCTCGTCCCGACCTGAGATGGCCTCTTCTGGCCTCTCCTGATCCTGTGACCCTGTATGCTGCTCCCCACGGATCTAACACTCGACTGTGATATCTGGGACGCTGAAGGCGCGACAGACGGTTTGTGTGTGTGTGTGCGCGCGCGGGCTTGTCTGTGTGTTTTTCGTTATGTGTATGTGTAGACTGGTGCGACTACCGTTGCTGGAAGTGTCCGTTGTTAAGAGTGTGAAGTTCTTGGCATGTCTTATCGTGGAACCAGTGAGAAGCCACGCTACACGGGAGAAATGACAGTCATGAAACGTATGAAGTGAAACACCAAATGAATTTGAAGGACTTCCGGGCAGCGAAATTAGTTCTCGACGAGCACAGACATGTGTAGAGCTTAGCCTGCAAGATGCGGCTTGCGGGACTTGTGTGCTTTGTGAACCAATACTTAGCGGAGGCAATGTCGCCGTTGTTATCAAGCTGACGTGAGTGCATATGTCTCATATGGGACATGCTGACGTAACTGTGTATCTGTACGTATTGGCATTATTACATATACTGCTGATGTGCTTTGCTCATGGCTGGGAGTGGATGACTGAAGACGACTTTGTGTTCCACAGGATCAGAGCCGATGGATAAGGTATTTTGTACGGATTTATGTTGATGTTTTGTGCGCTGTCTTCACAACATCGGACTGACATTCGAGGGCATCTCGCTGCCTGGACGACGCATCATACTTCACCGCGCACTAGTCATGTGTGGATCTAATTGGCTAACGTTGCTGGGACGTCACTGTAGCTCCGTGGGGTTATTGATTTGATGACGTAGTTCTACATACAGCAGCGATAGCTTGGTCTGCGAGTGTCAGCTGCCCAGCCGGAGTGCAGGCTATGCTCTTCGTCTTCAAGCAGCAGACCGATAATTTGTAAATGCATCATGTTTTTGTACAAATACACAAAATCGCGTTATGTATTTGTCTGTGAAGCCCTTTTATGTGACGAACAGGAGAATAAGTAGGCAAAGCGTTTTGGTGTATCAGTTATTCTACTCCTTTGAATTATGACTGCTTGCGTAACAATATCGATCGCCTCTCAGAAAGGCAGGATATATGAAACATCGTAGTAGTCTTAGGAGCTTAATTAACATTAACATCTTTTAGAGGGCAGGCGTGTCTTTTTTTAGCTTGGTTGCTAGTACCTAACTACATTGTGCAATAGGAGACGTGAAATCAATGATAATGCAGAGGAAGTGTAATTTGCAACAACCAAAGCGTAAAGAAAAACGAAATATACAGACGATAATAATGCCATTTTAGCTTATTTCAGCGTACGTTAAGCTGTAGGTACCCGGTGGAATAAGGTAAACTCGTTTTCTTTTTAACGATGCAATACCTAATGCCATTGCGAAACGAATAATTAACCCGCGCTCCGTTGAGATCTGACAGGCTCCACGTCCTGCAGGGGGGGGGGGGGGGGGGGCAAAGGGCCCCGTCATACCTATCTCCGAAACCAATACACGGATCGGAAAAATTCAAACGGCATCCGAAAGCGCTCATGATGATGCACAAGATACAATATCAATGACCTCGACATTTGACCTGTGACGTCACAGGGAAGTCAATTAGGGTCAAATAAGTCCAATTTGCAATGACGAGAAGTCAGCCATAAACAGATAAATATACTAGGGTTGACTATTAAGTAATGGAAGTGCCTTAAGCAATTAAACGGGTTTGCACGTGCACACATTATTTAGGTGTCATTTCATGCGCCGATCTTTTTTCTATCCAATGGTGAAGACCACATGTCCCTAGCTACTTTTTGCTATAAGCTATCGTCGTTTTCCCAAGAGACCTCCCGAACCTGTGGCGCACCACCTGGCAATGGCCAAAGCCGCGCGCCAGCGCCGAGTGCAAGGTCATTAGAGCTCAGTTTGTCGTAGGGAAAAGGCCTACCAATATCAGAAAATTTCTTTTCTAAGTGTGTGGAGCGACGCAGCCGCCCCACAGACGATAGGGTAACTGTGGGGAAAACGCACCCCTGGGTTAAACGCCTCCCCTAGAAAAATCGTATTTCTTATCGACGGATAGGCGTTTTATCCTGTCTTTCAGAACAGTCAGCTGCTTGTTTACGTAGGTCTCTATTTCCGGTTCTGCGTCTTGAGGAGCAGCGTGGGTAGGTGCTGATGTTGGTTTTGGGTGTTGTTTTTGTTGTTTTTACAGAAGATTCCTAAGATTTTGATGCCCTCTTTATATCACAAAATTTGCTATTGTGCACATCACTAAAAACTGCGTTTTATTGCCATTCTGTTGAATTTATTATGCTACGGCGTTAGTGGCGCGTTTTTTGTCAATATTTTGTTGACCGGAAATGGAGTGGATGGGGAAAGACGCCTCCTCGATGCATGGGGCAAGACGCCCCCAGTTTTCTGAAAGGGGGGCGTTTTGCACGGTGGTGAGAGTGCAGGGTAGCGCCCTGTAGGTGGGTGCCGAAAAGGCCTCTCCCCGTCCTTTTTTGCTGATATATCCTAAACGACTGCAGATATCGTCACCAAACTTGCAGGACTCCTCCGGGCATCCATTTTACACATTGCAACAAAATTTTATTCCAAAGGCTATGATAGGTTGACCACAAATGACGTCAGAATGACGTCAAGTTCTGCCATGTTCATCATTTTCTGTTGCTGGATGGGGTGGGGGCGCTTTGCACATGGGTGTGGGCGTATTACCCAGGGTGTGGGGCAAAACGCCCTTTTGTAAGGGTATGCGAAAACCTTTTTGGGGGGTTAAATACCACACGCAGGTGTCTTTTCTTGGTCTCAAAGCGTAGTAAAAAGAATGAGCTACATGATGGTGCCCAAAGGTTTGAGTAATCTGTGTTGGGTTGAGTGTCAGAAGGTTTCGCGCTTAATGGGGGCGTTTTTGACCTATTCACCCTATGTCGGTGGTTTCATCGGTTTGAGAAAGAAAGCGCCGATCAGTCCTCTGGCGGCGTTCCAGGAGTGGGTCAAACTCAAAACGAGGCTGGAATGGTGTGTGATGCTTGAGGGCGATTATGTGGAGTAGTGTATGCTGTCATTTATCGTGCCAATGTGTATTGTTTTGATGAAAATATAGAAATTGTCCATTGTGTAGCCATAACAATAAGCCAATAAGCTCTGATGACCTCGCGCTGGCGCTTGGCGCGCGATTTTGGCCATTGCCAGACTCCTTTTTCATGGTGCGCCGCAGGTTCGGGTGGTCTCTTGGGAAAACGACGATAGCTTGGAGCAAGAAGTAGCTAAGGACATGTGGTCTTCACCATTGGATAGGAAAAACATCGGCGCATGAAATGACACCAAGAAAACATGTGCACGTGCAAAAACGTTTAAATGCTTAAGGCACTTCCATTACTTAATAGTCAACCCTAGTAGGTTTCTAAATTGAGTCCAGATGAGATGTAAATCATAAATCTCACATGTGGCTGGTCAGCTGACTGGATGATCACATTTGACGTCACAAGAGGGATCAGCCTCGATCAATCAGAAAACACTTGCTTTAATCATGGGGAACGGCATGCTGAATTGTGAATATTCGAGTCTTTTTGAAGGCATGTCATATATATGCAGTCACAGAAACCTCTTGGACCATTTTTCTTGGACCTATGGCGTCTCAGAAAGGTAAAAGAAAAGCTAATTTGTATATCGATCCTTACAATGAAACCCAAAAATTGTAAAAGTGTCTTTCATCAAATGAAATATTATATTTAACCCTATTAGTGGCAGGGGGGGGGGGGTTGTTTTCATCCACCCCTCAGGTTTTTCGGGAATATCTCCGAAACCGCTGAAGCTACGATGCTGAAATTTTCTGACTTTTCCTAAAACTAAATTGGGCACATTCCCTGAAAATTTCAAGTTCATAACTTTACCAGGGGCGGCTCCAGAGCACTGGGAATTGGGGGGTCCTATTCGTGAAGCGAGTCATTTGGGCGAAGATCACGATGCTGCACCAGTTTTACGAGCAGTGAATGAAAGGTATCATGTGATAACATATACAGTTATTGTGCATCCTCTTTTGACACGTTTTTGCTATAATAGGCGGATCCAGGCGTCCAAAAAGGGGGGTTATGTTTTACCTCCCAACATAGGTGCCCTGACACCGCCTATGCATGACCAATACAATTGTAGTCGTTCTCTCATAAGAAAATTGTAACATAACAAGCCGTTACCACCCTTTTTAGAAACAGTACCAACAAAAACCTTATTTACTATACTTTTTGTGTACCCCCAATCTCAATGATCTGTATCCGCCTATGATTTTTGAAAATGCATATTTTTAGGATCCATGTGAATTCCTGGTTCATTCTCTATCGATCGGCAAAAGTTGCGTTAAGATTGGTTCAGAAACCTGGCCGTGATAAACAGTCTAAAATGTATCTGCAATTTGCCCGTTTTTACCCCCCTCTACCCCCTATTGCTATTTTTAATTTTTATTTTTTTTTAGAAATGTAGATCACGTTGAGCGAAATCGAATGCCGTTTGAATTTTGAAAATCGGCCCGTTACATCTCGAGATATCAGGGGGGGGGGGGTCGTAAACAGCCCCCCCTGCCACTAATAGGCAGGGGGGCTGTTTAGCAGGGGGCAGACATTAGTGGTTTTGATAAACCACTAATAGGGTTAATCAGGTAGAAGTGGAAAGGTATCATGCATATTATCTTGACTGATTTTAAGTACAAATAGGTACTGAAGATGTGTGATGTCATATCGCTAAATTTTTGGTCATTCAAATTGCTATATATCCGAAAATTTTAGAAATGTTTTGTTGATTTTGTGGCATGTGCAAGGACGTAAGGTGTTTTCTGACATGCAGACATACAGTAATCATATCCAGTGTATAATCCAGTGTTTTAAAGATTTCTGTAAAGTTCAAAAATATCTCAAGAAAGCTAAATTTTGAGATGAAAAGTCGCTAAATCTTGAGATATCTTATATTTTGGTAGTTTCGAGACCGTCATTTTGTTTGCCATGCTGTTTTGTACGCACGGCTGAATTTTTGAGTCTTTAGATTGATAGCCTGATTTTCTGCGATTTTTTTTTTACGTTAGCAACTCTTTCGACCAAAAATGGCCGAACATGACCTTAGTTTGACCTCTATAACTCATTACCTGAGATGACCTGGGAACTCATTCTTTTGCAAGATTTGTTGACAATTGATGTCCGAAGAGGCACTGAAAGTTTCAAGTCGAAATTTACAGCCGTTTCCGAGAAATCTGCGAAAAACCACCGGGAGGCCCTTTTGCCCTCACCCGCAACGGATCACGGGTTAGCGTCTTTTGACTTCTGTCACGTTCGAGCTCATTTTTTATGGGCACATACGATATCTCGGACACATGTCAGCCGTAAAACGCCCAATGCCCCTCTCCAGTCACGGATTCCCTTTAGTCTCACATATGGTCACCTCTTCACCCTGTTCACCCGCGGTTCGCCGCACAGCATGCTGCTGGAGCTCCCGCGAAACACCACGACTTCATTATTACCCCACTTGTGCAACTAAATAGCGATGTGAACGGCTCGGCGTCGCTCCCCAGACCACGATGGCCGCCGGCCATGAGGGCGGCGCCGCCCGACGCGACCCCGTCCAGGGCCACAGATGGGCGCCGGGCGGTAACGCGAGCGCTAAAACACCAAACCACCGCGCGGCGGCGACTGCAGAGCAAACAAACGCCGCCTCTGCGGCTACCACACACAGGGAGCGGAGGGATGCCGATCAGGGACTCCGTGGGACTGTGTCAACATTGTCAGTGACTGGGGCAGTGGGCGCTCACCGTATAAATTTTATTTGTGGACTCATGGCGCGGGGCCATACCGGAGTCGACGCTGAGGGTCCGACTGACGAGGATATTATAAGGAGGGCCTGGGAAAACGACGCGACATTTGCTGTCTTTGTTGCGCTATGTGAAACTGAGGTAGTCAATATTGCAGATTATTACATGGGATAAGCACGGTAGGTAAAACATTTTATGAAAGCCAACAGCATATTACCAACTGTCGAAAGGACTGAATTACGAATGCTTTGTTATAGGTAGATGAACATAAAAGTGCCATGATAATAACTTCAATCTGGAACAATTTTATGGGATAAAACGCTAGAAAAGTTTAAACCGAATTAGGTAGGTATATAGTTGTTGCGACGGAAAACAATATGAGCATGGTCGTAGTCGCGCATAATCAGTTTTTTTTTACATCGGCATGATCAAGCTTCCCGTTACGAATGAAGAAGTCATAACGCTTTGAAGAAAAAAGGGCACCTTTTATATACCGACTATCGCTCTTTGGGGATATTTGCAGCTTGCAGGATACTAAACACACTGCTGTCCCGACTGACACGGTTAACGGCGAAGGAACCAGAGTACCGGCATATCTGACGAACTCCGTTCCCAGAGGCGTCACTCAACTGTGGCGGGGTCGGATCGTCCACCAGACGGGCGTCATGCGCCGCTGATGCTGGAGCGCTCGAGAGACGCGAGGCTCGCGGACCGACAGATGGACGGCACACGGAGCAGACGGTCCATAGACGGTTCACTGGCAGTCTACACAGACGGTGCACAGACGGTTCAATGGCGGTCTTCCTCTACAGACGGTGCACAGAGCAGCGATAACGTGATCGGTTCACAGCCTGCCTGGTGTCATGGACCTCCGGGTTAGAAGGGTAGCGGGACCATAACCAGCCCCCGCCGAATAGGACGGTTATGGCGAACCTGCCGAAGATCTGTTAGCTTGATGCCTCCCATTGACTTTTTTTCGCGCGGGGGCTGGCGATAAAGGAATGAAAGCTGGAATTTTTATTCAAACTGGATCTTGTGACACTAACTGTATTTTGAGCTCAGGTCACTGACCTTGTACGTCACAAGTGATCCTCTTGTCACAACTTTGCAATGCCGTCAGTGCCAAGAAAGTTTTCACAGGGATTATAGGCAAAATAACCTTACGAGTATTCGCAACTTAGATATCTATATTTCTCATAAATGTCACATGAGGTCAGGTCATTCACGTGACCTCACCTAAAGCCAATGAGGAAATATGGGAACTGCTATTTTGGCGTCAGATACGATCTAATACTGTCTCAGGAACGAGAAATCGCTATTTCATACACTCCTTGCAACACTCTATGCTTAACTTTTACATTGTTGGCACTTGGCTTTGCGTGCCGTCGTAAGGCAATCGAAGTTTTTTTTTATTAATAGGTACTTAATCGAATTGGGCTGGCGTGTCGGGAAAGCCATGCCGGTGGATCCGATAAACACCTGCCGAATCGAATGATTGCACTTTGCAGCATAACCTCCATCGAACAGCTTTGCGTCCTGAGCGACTTTGACCTGACTTTGACCTGAGATGGACACTCCAAATCTATCTCTCCCAAGCAAAAAGGATATCGTTCGGCGCGCCTGAGAACTATGAACACAATGGTGCTAAAATGGTGGCTCTGAGACTTTTTTTTTGCAAAGCTATTCACCAGAAATAGAACACGTACCTCGGGACATTTGACTTGACATCAGAGGCCACCGGCTGACCTGATACCAGTTTTTTTTTTTTTGTCTCGTAATGGCGTACTTAGATGTCCGTTTTCTTTGCGAAACCTAGCACAGTTTGGGAGAAACGGCGAGAAGATTCTCCCTCGGCAGGGGAACGTATATAGGTTTGTAGAAAACTATAGGTTTAGCGAGGGTTTTATTTATGAATCTTGTTAAAGGTTAAGTGTTTACGCCTACGGGGAATACCATCTAAAAAGAGTGGTATTAATAATGTAAAAATTAAAAAGCATAAAAAACGAGAAAATATGCCTTTCAGCTGTGCTGTAAATACACGAAGTTCGTGCCGAAAGGGGAGTGTGTTTCGCAGAAAGGATGGTAATGCGTGATAAACACGAAAATACATTCAGGCCAACAAATTCCGCAATAAGACGGTATGTCTGCAACACCCACACCTCAGCTGCACGTTTGTCAGCAGCGGCCTCTAACGGTTGCAATGCGAGACTCCGCGCGGGTTTCGGACGGCTCCCTCGGCGCGGGGAGGTGCCGGCGCCCGCCGCGTCGCTCGCCCGTTCGTCAGTTTACGGTGGCGTTAGCCGGGCGGCGGGCGGTGCACGGAACGCTCCACGTGGGGCAGGTGGTGGCGGACCGGCGAGCGAGGCTACCACAGGACCGGCGAGATGGACACGGTCGGCACCGCTGCTCTGCTGCTGATGTGGGCTGCACTAGGACAAGGTGAGGCAAGCAGACTGTGACTGCTGTCCGTCTGTCCTTTGGTTTGGGTCATGCAAATAAGAGCTGCAACAGTTCGCTGTTGACTTTCATCGTTCATATAAGTATTTATTGGTCATTGAGGTTGGCATTTAGTGTGGCACTGTCAGTGGACATCTACGTATGGATGGGCTGGTATCGGATCGAGACGAATGCTGAACAGGGCTTGACGCACGACTCGAGCGAGCTTTGAATGCCGGGTGGATGGTCTATTTCAATCCATCTGTCTGTATGTCTGTTAATGTGAGGCTCAAATGGTTGACGTTTGGTATGGGAAGCGTTTCTTATTATGAGGTTAACACCCACAATTATTGTTCGATGCATTCGATTAAGTTCTGTCCCTCCGTCTTTTTTTTTGTATGTCTGTTTCACCCTCTCCCCCTTTCTCCCCGCTTCGCCTTGTTGCCCGTATTTCTCTGCCATGGTTTAGACCTGAATATATATCAATGATGTCATTATCCCGATTAATTACAAACTTATCAGCACGAAGTAGTTTCATGGATCAGGATTAATGCAAACACATGATTTCGGTTGACTCTTCCAAGCACGAAATAACCCGTCATTCACCTTAGCGTATTCTTGCGAGCGTTGCAATCTACTCGTACATATACCTTCATTGGAGCGACCAACACCCGGATGTTGAGAGCACGTGCTCGCTCAGCGTGCGACATCGCTAAATCTTACCTACCTTATTAGAACGCATGCGTGCATTAAGCAAAAAATAAAGTTATGACTTAGTTTGGCCTTGAACCTTTATGTTTAAGGATGTACCGATGACATCAAACTGTTTTCATATAATTAAAGTTCTTAACAAGCTATTGTTCTAATCTGTCTTGATGCACGACAGCATTTGCACGAATGCGGAACAACTAAATTAACTTCCTCGGAGTTCATATTCGGCCCTACTTTGAAGTGAACATTGCCCAACAAAGCAGCAAATTTAATTGGTTAATGCGTTGAGTGCTTTCCATAAATGAGTTCCTCGTAATAGCAACTACGTTTTTGTATGGTTCAAGAGAAAAAAGTTCCAGATAGATTTGATTTGTATATTTTCATCTGCTTAAAATGACTGAAAACATTTCGCTCTGTCTGTAATGCGCAGATTCATTTTACTTGTTCTGGACCTTACTCACTGTTAACGATTTTTCCGACTATGTCGTTCCTGTCTCCACTCTTCCTGTATCTCGGACCACCTCCCGTCCAGTACCGTTTCGTCTCCGTTCCTCCATCTCCCCGATTCGTCCCGCTACCGCGTCCGTCTGCCGACCCGCCGCGCATGTCCGTGATTTAGCGCATGTTTGGGGCGGTGACAGGCGGCGCGGTGGTCCCTGATGCCTTCATGGACCGCCCCGCCTCAGCGGGTAACGGGCACAGTGCGCCGTTTTTGTCTCTGCTCTGGAACTCCTTATCAGCCGGTCTGGCTGGGTCAGACCTATGTCGGCAGCTGCCCCAAACCTGGTAATGGGTCCAACCACTGCGGTGGGTCGGTCACCCGCCGTGGAGACGCCACGGGGGTCGGGGAGTCTCAGAGGCTCTCCGGTAGACCATAGGTCACACCCGTCCGAGCGGGACTCTGTCACAGGTCAGACCCGCCCGAGAGGGACGATAACATTGGACCTGTCCTGTCCCAGAGAAGCTCCGTCACAGGCTGACCCGTCCGAGCGGGGCTCTGTCTCAGTCTGACCCGCCCGAGAGGGACGATGACATTGGACCTGTCCTGTCCCAAAGAAGCTCCGTCACAGGCTGACCCGTCCGAGAGAGGCTCTGTCTCAGTCTGACCCGCCCGAGAGGGACGAGGACATTGGTCGGATTGGGCCGAGATGGACGATACTATACAGGTCACATACGTCCTAGCAAGGAGGTCTCAGGTCAGGTCAGGCTCGTCTTGAGAGGGGTTACGGCCTAAGAACCTGTATAAGTCAGAGGGAAGATCAAAGATGTACTGGGAAGTAACGATTATAGGTCATTTTCCTGGAAAAGGGGCAATGCCACTGGTCTAGCGCGCTGGAAAGGTTCAAAGGGATACGCGGAAGCTGCGAGTCGAGTAGGTGTGTTGACATTTTACAGAGCTCCACGGCCATGAGTCAGGCACTCAACACAATAAGGTGTATGTCACTTGACAGAAGTCTCACGTGCTACGACAAGATGAGTTGTGGACATGTCCAGTTTTCGGCACGAACGTGTCATGATTGCTATATTTCCTGGACATTGTTCACCTCAAACAAACAGCGCGCCTTCAAAACGGCCCATTTTATGCACGTCATTTATTTCAAATTCTTCAGAAATGTCCACAGTCGGATGCCGGTGGATCCTCGAACTGGGTGACAATGCCGTGACCGGATTTGTCACGCAAACTCGCCCGGCTGACACCTGGAGCGAATTGGACACCCGTCACCACCGTCCTTCGAGTACGCTGGTCACACCAAACCACCTCGCAAAGGCCACCGTCCGGCGCCGTGACTCACGACTGACTTCATTAGCCAGTCGCGGTGGAGCCAGTGAAAGCCGGTGGCTTCCTCCGGTGCCGCCGGGTCGCCCTGCTGCTGCCCCGGTGGGTAACGCTGCCGGATGCTGTCTAGGGAGGGCCGGATGCAGCCCGGGTCTCCGCGGTGCTGTGGAGCTCCGGTGGTTGCCCTGGCAAAGTGCGGAAAGCACGGAGGCCGACCGCAGGTGACGGGATCCGGTCTCTGTCCACGGGTCTTCCACTGGGCACCGCCCATGAGGTGTGGGCGGTGGGTGACCTGCGGGTGTACCCCGGGGGCGTCCCAGGTGTACCCCTGTCACCCCTCCACCGCGGGCGGTGGCCAGATCCACCGGGCACTATTGTGATGTGGCTCGGCTCGCCGCATGACACACATGTTTTCCTCCTTTCGTCTGGTCGGCAAGGCCGTCGTGACGAGGTTTAAAGATAGGTGCGGTGATTACTCACTGCTGCACACGAGTTCTAGGGAAATCGAAGCGTTTGCTGAGATCAGATATGCTAACGGAAGACCCTTATCTGTTAGATTAAGTATCGCCGACCTCCAATGGGTCACAAGTTTCGTGATCAGTAGTTTTTTTTGCATGCTACTTTAAAGACCAGAGCTTATGTTTCAGGTAAAGTTTTTAGATGAGTCATGCCTCTTGCCCGATTTGCTGACCGCTGCAGCTTTGATAGGTACCGGGGTGGTCTAATTATCCGCATTAGTGGTGGTGATTACGCGAAAAGGGCTGCGCGATGATCTTTTTTTTAACGACCGTTTTACACAAGTCTTGGAGGATTTATCTTTAAAGCTTAATACTAGGCTAAAAATGTCGATAAGATTACGAAGATGCCCCTAAATTGGGCATGGGCTTGTGTTTTGTCTTGTTATATAACGGTAAAGCTTTGACAATAGCAATGCATTTTATAAGTTGTGATCTATTTAGGAAACGTTAAGCTGTTCCGGTAATGCCGAAATGCTTATGACAAAAATGGCTTAAAACCATGTTGTGCTGATATATTTATAGCTGTAGACAGCTCAACTTAAATATACCGACTATCTGGTCGTCCCTTTTAGGACCGTTTGTGAACACAATAACGGCCTCAGGCCGTTTGTGAGGCCGCATTGTTTCATGTCCACCTATCCTGTATGCACGCTAAAATAATCCAATGGGTGGCTTAGCAGTAAGCACGCAAGCGATGATACTATCCGTGGGTTGCATCACCTCAATTTCTCCGGTATCCATTGCATGTGTTGTGCTGACAAGGTAAAAGTTAAAATGTTTTTACGTATAGCCCGCGCCCCACTGGGGTCTGTGTATAACACGCCCTACTGGGGGGGGGGGGGGGGCTATTTATAGCCCCCCCTCCTAACTCCGAAACTACTGAGCCGATCGTCAAAATTTAAACGGCGTCTGATAGCCCCGGAAAAACTGTCGAGCGAAACCTAATTTCATTGACCTCGAGGTCACCGATGACGTCACAGGTCAGGTCAAAGTAAAAATTATTAGCACTTTGACTTGTTCACATTTTGGGCTCTGGCCGCCGTCTTACAAGTCAGATCAGGCTCATTTTTGGTTTCCACACTCGTGAACAGATGCTCTAGATACCTTGAGGGTACCAAACTTGTACTTTTATTTTCAGGTCAGGGTCAGGTCATCACAGGTCACGAAAATATTATATCATGCGTCGGTCACGTGACACATGTTTTATGGTCCATTTAGGCCATATATTTCGAATTTGATGTCGTCTATGTCATTCGAGGTCATTTTGATTCGAATTTAGCTTAGGTCAGGTCACTTTCAGGTAAAAAAAAGGTCAAATTTTGAAGTTAAAATTTTTCAACAAAAAAGGTGTCTATTGGATGCAGTTTGAGCTCAGGAACACGATGGTGCCATTTATATTGGTGTACGATGCCAAATACGTACTGAAAAATTGATTTGAAAAATTAATAATTGTGAATTTTTTGCAATAATGCGTATAACTTGGCCATTTTTGAAGATATTTAGCTAAAACTAGCTAGAGTTAGTCATAATCATGCGTTCTGTCACATATATTCCGGTTTTTTTCGAAAAGTCAAAAACTTTCTGAAAAAAATATAAAAATATAAATTTTGAATATTATTATGAAAATTTTTCGAAATTTTCAAAATTTTGAAAATCCGAGATAGCAGTTTTATAGCGCGGTCAATTCTGAGTTCTTTCATGCAAAGAAATTGGATCTAGCTTAAAAACTGAGCTCTTGGGAGCGATTGCCGTGGTTCAATGTTTTGCGTCGAAATCGGACGAACATGACGTCACTCTGACGTCATTTCCGGCCGACCTATGGTAGCTACGGAGTTCAAATTTTGACACAAGGTGTCAAATTGATGCAGCCAAAGGTACTGAAAGTTTGGCGTCGATCTGTCAAGCGGTTTGGAAGTTATTGCAGAAAAACGGGAGGGGGGGCTATAAATAGCCCCCCCCCCCCAGTGGGGCGCGGGATAGAGCTTCATCACTGAGCA